CAACGAGCTCTCAATTTCACGAGCACATAAATATATACATACAAGTCCGTATATTAGTGTGTACCTAAATACATCAACATAAGGACATAAAAAGTATAGTTAAATTAAAAGTGCGATTCTTAATAATTGTATTACGAAAATTAAAATTACACTCACAATAAAATATTTAAAATAAAATACAACTTAAAAAATTTATTTCGCAAGTAAATATTTATCTAATCCGTAAAAAACTCTTATATACGTAAAAGAGTATTCGGTATAAATTAAATTTTTTCTCGCTGCGTCAGTTTACTCTGAGAAATTTTTAATCAACTTTGACACATATAGTAATAAATAACATAAAAAAATGGTTAATGACAAAAAAAATCAAATTACACCTGCAGAAGCTACACGCGCAAGACAGGTTGCCACAAAGCAAATAAAAGGCAAATATATTTGTGCCACCAAATTCATTTCTGAGAGTGACAGACTAACACGATACTGCACTCGATTTTCATCTTCACCGATTCAAGACATCTCTGAATCGTTATTGGAAATAAAAAAAACAAAATATTGACAATTTTTGGACTCGTCTCCAAACGGCTCATGACGCCATAGTAGATTATGACAATTCAGATCTACCACACAATTTTATATCATCGGATTACGCAATATACGAAAACTGCTTAGACCAGTACGAAGAAACAAAAGCTATGATTTCTGATCAATTAAAGCTAATAAAAGCTATTGCAACTACTCCACATCCGAGAGTAGAGCTGCCACAAATTCAAAGTCAAGAGGCAAGTTCAGGCATCCATCTCGAGGTGCCCGCATGTGACACAGAAATATTTTATGGAGGTTATGAACATTCCCACAGACAGCCTATTCTGGTAAATATATGCATCGCAGCATTACCAGAAAAATCGTTACTTTTGTGGGAGCAATCGCTCTCCTCTCAGAAAAAATGCCCAACGTGGCAGCAAATGAAAGAATTTCTAACTACCCAATATGAAATAACAGAAAGGGTAGACAAAAAACTAGTTAGAACTAAAAGCGTTCAAAACGACCTCAATAGAAGCTTCAATAGACCCCAAGCAAGTAGCAACAACAATTTAAACAGAAGCTTTTACAACACGCAATCGTTCACATACGAACAAATTCAATTGCTCATATTGTCACAAATGACACCACTCAATGCTTCATTACAGCAAATTTCCCATATCACCCCAAAGAAGCGCTTATACAAAAAGAACCACTGATTTAGTTGTAACAACAACTCTTAAAAACCAAAGTCCCGAAAATTGCCAAAAGACACCATGTTGCTTAAAGGCACAAAAAACTCAAATGCTACACAGCGAAATACAAAGAAGAGTACTACTACCCACAGCAGTCGTCTCCATCGAACACCGAGGAGAACTGTTTAAGCTTAGGGCCTTAATAGACCAAGGATCACAGCGATCTTTCATTGCGTCTAAGGCACAAAATAGGTTACAACTGCCAACAAAACAAGCCAAATTTGAAACTACAGGAATGGGCGGAAGAGTAGTTCAAAACTCTAATAAAATCTGCCCCATTACCCTAATTTCTCCCCAAGCGGATAAGAGAATTAAAGCAGAAGCTATAGTCTTACCGCAGCTCACAAATATGCTTCCAAGCTATCATATAAATAGCAAACTTTGGGAAAAGGTTTCACACTTTAAATTAGCAGATCCCAACTGCAGCACTCCCGCTCAAATAGACATTTTATTAGACAGCGATCTCATACCTCAGATAATACTCGAGGGTGTTGAGAAAACTTCAAACAGACTATTGGCACAAAACACCATTTTCGGTGGGATCCTAAGTGGACTAGTTACGGAACCAGTTACCACCATGACAACTCAAGTTGAGGAAATCTCAAATGAATACCTCAATTAACAATTGAAAAAATTTCGGAAGTTAGAAAAACGCCCCCTCATATCAATTACAACCCCAGAAGATCAGTATTGTAAAGACTTCTACAAAGCCACAACTACTCGTTCAAATAATGGCCGGTAGGTCATACGACTACCACTAAATTCCCAATGTTCCAACACTCCACAAATTGGCAGAAAAATAAAATAAAATAAAGTCAGAATTTCTTTTGACATCCCCAATATTAAATACACATACATATATAACTTTTCGACCCCGCAGGATGGCTTTCGCCAATAATGATAAGATCATGAGCTATGTGATATTGCCAAATTAGTATCCACGTGTGTAGCATTTCAACCTGGTAAAATATAAACTATCTCGCTGCTCCAATTCCCAATAGACTGACTAGAAAGACCACCGTGTGAATGAAACACATATATATTCCATCGCACGTACACTCGTCCATGCGCGACATAATTCTCCTAGAAAAATCGACACAGTACACAATAATGGATGATACCAACATCCTTGCCCGATTTTATCGTTCTCCTGAGCTCCAAATTCAAAAAAGTAGATGTATATTGCAAATAAATATATCGAATTGACCACATTACTAACTTGGAAAGAAACCGTTCTCAATTCAAGACCCCTCTAATTTCTCTGTCCTGACATCAGGGCATTTTCTCAAAGGAGCATCCATTCTGGCCATATCTGAGCCAGGCGTGGAGTCGCTAACCTTAATAAGCCGATGGTAAAGAAATTTTAAACAAACAATATAACTAATAAAATTATAAAAGAAACAACCGCAAATACAATAAGAACGAAAAGCAACTACAACCTCATATACCCGGAAAATATAGTTGCTTACATTAAAGCACTTACATTCACATCAAAATGCGTACAAAATATGTTCTTAAAACCAAAGCCGTTTTATACACACATGATATGGATATACCACTACTTCATGACCGTGCCCTCAGCTACTCCATCAGCAGTACGCCGTAGTACATTCAACAGCATATACGTGTAATACTAGGCTAAATATTTGCCTAGGGGGCCCAGGATGTTTAAATGAGCTTAAACTCCCTGATCCAATTACACCACTCTACTCGGGAAAAACTGGCACACCCTAATGAAACACACCACACCGCACTCAACATTTGAGAAAACTACACATGATGACACCACCACACTCAACCTCTGAGTACAACATGCACGAAGATACCTAACAAAAAGGACGGGATCATCGCTAAATCAGCATTCGCTTACTAGACCGCTAATAGAGCGATCCTAGTCATTCGCAAAAACACTCGCTTATCGTTGACGGGCCTGAGCGCCACCTTACCTCTTCCGTTTATACCACGTCGTTCAACATCGCTCTTCAACATACCTGCTTAATAAAATAATACCTGGTTTTATAAATAAAATCTTTCGCACGAAATAAATGGCATTTCCATTTAACTAATTAAAGCGATTCTAAGTGACGTAAGTGAAGTGAATATCCCAGTGGTGTATACTCCCCAATAAATTGTATATTTTATTGTTCCCAATAAATTTGGGAAATTTGTTCTATAAATGGAATTTCATCTGCAATTGTAGCTATTATGTTTTCCATAAAGTTTTTGAATTTATTCGAATAATTTCCTATTAGAATTTGTTTTTGGGTTACGTGGTCCGTATTTGGGAGTATATGAAGTGGTTAACAAATGTTAGGTTATAAATTTAGTTTGTCAAAGTTTCTTTATTTTTATAAAGTGATCTGAGTGATTTATACCATATATTTTAGTTTCGTCGTGACTGTCCCATGTACCTGTTGAGCACTTGAGTCCTTTCCCTAATACGTTTATTAGTCCTTTTTATTTGTCTGAAGTGTGGTTTTAATTTTTATAATTTTCTTTTTAAAAGTGCAAAATTTTTGGTTACCGTATCGAACAATGGCCTTGTTTCAATTCTGTTAGTGGTAGGGGTTTGTATATTTCCCAGAATGTTTTTTGTTTTGTTTTATAGGAGCCTTGTTATATTTTGTCTTTGCATTTGCTACGTGGTCTTCTTCAATTTTTCTAGTATTTATCTTCCTATATTTCCTTTGATTTTTACCTTCTCAAATTTCCTTAATGCAATTTATACCTTCTTCCATTTCTACGTCTACTCTATTTCAAAACTAATTTAGATAGGTATCGTTTCATATTTATCCTCGAGGATTTTTCCATTCAAAAAGTCAATTGGTTTTATTTTAGCTATGCTGTGTATTGTGTTGTTGTAAATGAAGTCCTTCAATGACCGCATTGGGAGTGTGATAGCTATTTGACGTGAAGTGTATATGGATGTTTTTTTCTCTAAGGAATGCTTGCATTGGTAAAGCTTTGAATCCTAATTCGTTATCTACCATCATTTTCTCAATTTTTCGTATGTGTTGATGTAGTGAAGTAACATAGTGTTGAATTCCACTAATTTTATAGGATACTGCAAATTTTGTATATTTGTCATGAAAAGTTCTTTTCCTAACTTCACGACGCTAATAGGGAGTGTAAATGACCAAAATAAATATTGCTTTTGTTTATTTAAGTCTGTTTATTCAAAGTTTGTTTATTCAACGTTTGTTTATTTAAATTTTTTTTATTCAAAGTATACATTTTATTTAACTGAATAATCCTCGCAACTCGCGCTCCGTTGCCTGTTCTGTCTCGTTGCCTCGTTTCGACTGACTACTCGTTGTCTGCCTTGCCCCACCGTTCATCCTCTGCCGTATTGCCATCTAACGTTGACAGCTCGGCCACTCCTGATGGATCGTCTCTCCTGGACGATTTTCCGTGTGCGTAGTCGTTGATGCTCTCAAATGAACATTTTGTTTCATAATCGTCATCAGTCATACTCAAAGCGCACCAGCGCTTCATGTTGTCATTCGTAAAAATTCCTGCATAGCGCTTTCGCTGGTTCGTTATATCTGGTAGATCTTCTACCACATAACGATCGTTGGGTAAAACCTTCGTTACCAAATACGGACCTTTTTATAACGGATTAAGCTTATGAGACGTACCAGTTGGAGGAGGTACGTAATCGATTACTACCAGATCTCCTTCGTTATACTGTCTCGGCTTATGATGTTTGATGTCGAAACGTTTTTTCTATTTAGCCCTTTCTATGTTAATTCGTTTGGCCGCTGATTTCAGTCGGAAGTCTTCATGTTGAGTTTTTCCGTCGTCGTCGTCATCTGTGATAGCTTGGATTAATCGATTCGTTGTGACGTCGCGTGGCTTATAATTGAAAACTAAGCTATTGGGGCTCTGTTTCGTAGTTGCGTTGCTTTGGGAGTTTATGCTCCATTGAAGTTGTGGTAGTGCTTCGTCCCATTCTTTATCGGCTTTAATGCTGTATTTGAGTGATGCCAAAACTGTCTTATTGACATGCTCGGCTTGACCGTTGGCACGGGGCGTGCGCACTGCTACTTTGACCTGCTTGATGTCATATCTGTCGGTGAAGCTCTGATACTCCTTTGATGTGAAAGCTGTGCCCCTGTCGGAAACTATTTGCTTCGGGCACCCATAGATTGTAATGTAATCTCGTAGTGTGCTGACAACGGGAGTTGTTTTCGTATTACGTAATGCTTTTAGTATAACATATTTCGTGAAAGCACACACAATGACCAAGATGTATACATTGCCATGTTTACTTCGTATAAAAGGCCCTAGATGGTCAACATGTATGCATCTAAATGATATCGGCACCACTTCGCTAACATGGAGCTGTGCTTCCTTCTTGCCACCCGATGCTTCATTAATGCAACATTCTGGACACGATGCAATATAGGATTTCACATACGGTCTCATACGAGCAAACCAAAAGTCTTTGGATAATCGTTCGCATGTCTTATCCAGTCCAAAATGTCCCGCCTCATCGTGACATGCTCTCACTAAACGCCATTTTACGCCTCTCGGGACCACTAGCCTCTTGTTTTACTGTACTTTGCGATATAACCGCTGACCTTGCCATATATAGTCATCTTTCAGTTGCGGTGCGTTAAATGTTTCTTTGCCGTTTAAAACTTCGATGATTTCTTTTAATGTCTCGTTTTGTCTTTGCGATACCCAATCGTTGTCAATTTTCACCATGGGATAAATTGATTCGGCGATCGTTGTTGATTCTACTGGTGGAAGCGTTGGACATCTGCTTAACCCATCAGCTAACGTATTCTTTGTACCTGCGCGGTGAACGCATTGAAAGTCAAACTCCTGTAATTTGAGCCACCACCTCGCCACTCGCGGTAGCAGTGGTGTTGTCGCTTTAGTGACCGCCACGGCGTTGCAGTCTGTGATTACCTTAAACCTATGTCCAATCAAATACATTCGGTAACGTTGCAGTGTTTCAACTATCGCCAGAACTTCTAATTCGTGGCTAGCGTAGTTGCGTTCTGCGTCATTACACTGTCGGCTGAAATAGAATACAGGTTTCCACTCGGACTCCTCGTCGTTCTGCATTAGCACTCCTGATAACACTGCGGAACTGGCATCCGTGTGCACCTCGTGGGCTTTTGTTGCGTCGTATATAGTTAAGACTGGCTTGGTTGTTATTAGACTTTTAAGCTTTTCAAATGCGTCGTTTTGTTCTTCATTCCAAACAAACTCTGCGTTCTTCTTTAGTAACAATGTCAATGGTTGTGCCAAAATGCGGTACCCTTTAACAAACTTCCGGAAGTAACCAGTTATACCCAGAAATTGTCGTACGGCTTTTGTTGTTGTTGGTTTCGGAAACTCTTTAATTACTTTGGTTTTGATTTCCCCTGGTCGTATGCCTTTACTGTCTATATCATGCCCCAGGAAACGTACATGCTGCGTGTGGTGAATTACTCGGACGGATGATGTCGTTGTCTAGCAGTTCCTTTAAAACCTTTGATAACATTGGTCGCTGTGAGAACGGAACTTGATAAAATTTGCCCAGAATAGGCCCTGGTACAGTAACTTCTATTGTCATATGCGCGTTGTTACATCTACCGATTTGGTTGATACTTTCTGCAAAACAATTTTTATAAGTCAACAAAATATTCATTGCCTTTCCTCGTTCCTGCTCCGATAAATCGCTGGATACGTTAAGGTCTACCCTTTTAGCTACTTGCAGATGTAGCACCCCCTTCCCATTTACCATTTGATAACCGTTACTTTGTAGAACGTCTCGACCCACTAAAATATCGTAGGGTAATAACTCGTCCTGAACTAGGTATAGTGTCACTTCATGTTTGACGTTGTCGATTGTTGCAACTACGTTGACCTGATGTGTCACCTTTACTTTGGACCCGCCGAAACCCATGAAGCATCTGTTAGCTTCCTGAGTCTGCATCCCGTTGGCTGCCGTTTCCCGTATCAACGAGCATACGCTGCCCGTATCGATGAACGCTTCAAATTTATTCCCATTAAGCTCCGCTATTTTCATAACTGGAGGAGCCCCGTCGTCTTCCTGGTGATTGGTAATATTTGCAACTGATGCCTTTTTACTGCATGTTTTAGCTTCATGCCCCTTTTTTGAACATATGGTTGCGGGCACTTGGCTGCCATGTGTCCCAACTCGTTGCAATTGAAGCACTTTATTTGTGTGTACTTCCCATTGTATTTAATTTCGGTCTTCGTTGGCTGGTTTGGTGGTATTGATGTTATCGATGGACTACTGATTGCTAATAAATTTTTTAATGCAACCAATAGTTCACTACGCGTTGTAAAATTCATCGTTGCTAATGGCTTAGTTACTGCGCTATCATTGAGACCGCTGATGATGTGCATGTTGATAGATACGTCATCCACCCTACCTTGCCTACCTATGGTTAGCATAGAGTTTCATAAGCAATTTATGAATCTCCGCTGCATTGTGCGTTGTTGGAAAATCCGTACATAAATTCTGACCAGGTCTGAAAAACTGATTGTGCATCCAGCCAACGTTTGGCCATGCCTTTCATTTTGTGTTGCACTGCAATCAAAACTCTGTTTTCCTTCCAGCCGTAGCATTGTTGCAATTGTTCAGTTCGCGTTATAAATTGTGCTGCTGACGATGAACCTTTTATTGGGTCGAATTCAAGCATAATCCCTATCATGTCCTGAATCGACTTCTCTCGCTGTATTGGTCTTCTTAAATCATGAGCTGATTCCCAAGTTGATACACTTGACCCTGGTGACTCTAAGTCGTTGTTGATTGCCGCTTGTTGAATTTCCTCCCTATTCGGTACCGCTGTTGAATTTTGGGTGATCGCTGCCATAGCTGACGTTAAACCTAAGATTGCTTCTTTTAAACTGTTGAGTTGCACTTGTAGATCACTTGTAGGACTGGAACTTTCATCTTCAATGTCGATTGCTTCTAATTCGTCGGCACCTAGAACCTCTTGCAGTTTTGATAACTTGGTTGCCTTGGTACCCGTCAGTGGTAAATCGTTTGCTCGTAGAAGTGTATTAAGCTGACTGACCTTTAGCGTATTTAATTTGATCATCTTGCGTCTTTTGTTTTGAGCTTCTAACTCGTTGCTCTTCTAACGTCGCCTTACTCGTACTCGATATTGATGTTTCGTTTCACTTTCTTGTGTTTGTACTCTTCAGTACCTTGCTCTCTCTTCTTACCAGATGCTTGCACCCGCTATTACGTTGTGTGTGAATTTCTCTTAAAATTTTATCCGTTAACTCACTGATGTAGTGACGTTTCGCCGCTTCGGTTCACAACTTCGTAGCAGCGCAGTTGATATTTTACAAGCAGAGAAGTTCGCGACGACCGTTGCACGTTCGAGCTTGCTAATTTTCTGCTGCTTAATCGTTTTGTGTAATGCCGGTCCTTTGTTGTTGCGTGTCTGAACTTGCACGCTGTACGTATGACAACCAATGTACTGTTTGTTGATTTGCACGCATTGCAAATACTTCGTTTGTCTTATTTCGTAAGACGTTGATATTTCGCTGTGGTGTCTTTCGCAGAATTTGCTGCGCCGTTGAAAATTCTGCAAAACAAGGAACTTTACCGTTGCGCCGTTTTGCAATTCGTGCCGTTTTGCGCTTCTCAACCCTTGGATCGCTGAAAAACACTTGTTCCTCTCTTTTACGCCGTTACACCACTGCCACGTTTTATTTGTCTCCTTTGTAGACTATTGAATACACTAATCCCACTTCTGAGATGTAAATGGCCAAAATAAATATTGCTTTTGTTTATTTAAGTCTGTTTATTCAAAGTTTGTTTATTCAACGTTTGTTTATTTAAAGTTTGTTTATTCAAAGTATACATTTTATTTAACTGAATAATCCTCGCAACTCGCGCTCCGTTGCCTGTTCTGTCTCGTTGCCTCGTTTCGACTGACTACTCGTTGTCTGCCTTGCCACACCGTTCATCCTCTGCCGTATTGCCATCTAACGTTGACAGGAGTTTCACTTATCTTAAAAGGTATTTAAGGTGGTTTTCTGTCGTATTTTTCTAGAGTACATATTTCACAATCGCAGATGAATTGATTTTATTTTTTAATTCTTCGTATACTGCTTGTATATGGCTATGGTTCTTACATAAGTGTTCTTTTTCAATTATTTCGGTTAATTCAATTTCTTTATCTACATATATCTTTTAATACCCTTGCACTGTTTATGATCCTGAATTTATCGTTATTTAAAAAGACTTCATTAAAAGTATTTATATAAAATTAAAAAAAATTAATTGTTTATATAAAGTTAAAATGATTTTTTAGCTAGGAAATGGCGGTTTCCCTGTATAATTCTTTATTACCTACAGTTTTCCTTAAATTTTCAAATATATTTTCATGCAAAAATTGAGATATCTTTATGAAACTTGGTAGACATGTTTCGTGGTACCGTGAGACGGTTGGTATTGCAGATGGGCGTAATCGGACCACTGCCACGCCCACAAAACGCCATTAATCAAAAACAAATAACTTGCCATAACTAAGCTCCGCAATAAGATACAAGACTGTTATTTGGTACACAGGATCACATTAGGGAGGGGCATCCGCAGTTAAAACTTTTTTTAAAAAGTGGGCATTAATGTGCATATCTCCTAAACCGCTAATGCTATAATAACAAAATTCACTAGAACAAATGTTTTAGCACTTCTATTGACGGTTGAAAATAGTGAATCGGTGGCAACTCGCCCACTCCCCATATAACGGTACTGTTAAAAACTACTAAAAGCGTGATAAATCAAGCACTAAACACGCCAGAGGCAAATTAAATGTTTATCTCTGAGATGGTATAAATGCTTTATAGGAACCGCGTTCAAAATTAGACAGTGGGCGTGCGACAGCTCCACTTTTAGGTGAAACCCCATATCTTGAGATCTGCTCAACGATTTCAACCAAATTAACGTTCTTTTCATGTTTCTATGTCATAGTGCGAAAATGGGCGAAATCGGACTACAACCACGCTTACTTTCCATGTAACACCATTTTCAATTCCATCTGATTCTTTCACTTTCCACTATGCAAATCAGGTAACAATGATTATATCGGTGTAAAACTTTGCGTGAATAATGCAATTAAAGTATGCCACCTTGCGACCAAAAATTGTCTAAATCGAACCAAAACTGTTCAAACCCTAAGTACAAATATTGGACCCCAGTGCCTAGTTGACCTTCTCCGCGAAATATCAGTCAATCCACAAAGAAATCTCAAACGAGTATACCATTTGACTTTGCGAGAGTATAAAATGTTCGGTTACATCCGAACTTAGCCCTTCCTTACTTGTTATACTATGTTGCGTGGCTACAGAGTATAATAGTTTTGCTCACCTAACGGTTGTTTGTATCACCTAAAACTAATCGAGTTAGATTTAGGGTTATGTATATATAAATGATCAGGATGAAGAGACGAGTTGAAATCCGGGTGACTGTCTGTCCGTCCGTCCGCCCGTGCAAGCTGTAACTTGAGTAAAAATTTAGATATCTTTCTGAAACTTGGTGCACATGTTTTTTGGTACTATAAAACGGTTGGTATGACAGATGGGCGTAATCGGACCACTGCCACGCCCACAAAACGCCACTAATCAAAAACAAATAAATTGCCATAACTAAGCTCAACAATAAGATACAAGACTATTATTTGGTACCCAGCATCACATTAGGGAAGGGCTTCTGCAGTTCAAATTTTTTCTTAAAGTGGTCGTATTCCCGCCCCTTAAAGGTTGAATGAGCATATCTCCTAAACCGCTAAAGCTATAATAACAAAAATCATTGAGACCAAATGTTTACCTTTTAGCACCTCTAACGACAGTGTGAAAACGGGTGAAATCAGGTGGCAACTCCAAATTCGGACATAACATTCTTCTTATATTTATTTCTATGTTATTGTGCAAAAATCGGGATACAACCACGCCTACTTCTGGTATAAAATTCCATCTGATTCTTTCACATTCCACTATGCAAATCAAGCAAAATATATAAAGAAATATCAACCGAGTATACCGTTTGACTATGCGAGAGTATAAAATGTTCGGTTACATCCGAACTTAAAACTTCCTTACTGGTTTGTACTTAATTACATAATAATATTCAGAAAGTCTTAGCCTCTATCTAACAAGTTGAGAGTTAGGTTCTCTTATAGAAAATCTTAGATCACTCTCGATTATGAATTTTAGCCGAAAGAGGTAAGGTCTGAAATATTTTGTGGCCCAAATGTTGGCTAAGGACTCTATCTCTATTGTACTATAATTTCATTCATGTCCGTTTAGTGTGGTATTGGCATATTAAATTGGGTGGTTGTCTAGTGAAAGAACTGCGCCTAATGTGAAGTTACTAGCGTCTGTGGTTAGAGTGAATTTCTTTCAAAAGTCAGGATATGCCAGTATTGGATCATGTGTTAGTAAGGTTTTAAGAGTTTTGAAACTTTTTTGATAGTGTGGGTCAGAAATATTTATTTTAGCATCCTTTTGCAAGTATCTAGTCATTGGTTTGGCAATTAGAGAATAATCCTTAATGAATTCCCTATAATATCCAGTCAAACCAAAAATTGGTTTATTTGTTTAAGAGTTTTGGGAATGGGAAAGTTTTTGACGCATTCTATTTTTTTGGGGTTTGCCTTTATTCATGCTGGTGTCACTATGTAACTAAAGAATTTCGTTTTTCTTTTCATAAACTCAGATTCGTCTATTTGAACCTTAAGATTTGCTTCTTTTCAGGGACGGAATATTGAATTAATGAGTTGATATGTTCTTGCAATGAAGTGGAGAAAATTATAGAAGTATAGTATAGAAATCATTTTATATATATATTCCTTTAAGATATTGTTCATAAGCCGCTGGCGCTGTCTTCAGTCTCAACGGCATTCGCAGGAATTCATGATGCCTTAGTTCAACATTGAGGGACAGTTTTATTAATGTCGATCTTTTGATATCATTTCGCAAGATCGAGGGTGGTAAAATATTGGTATCTTTCTAATTTGTCCAAAATTTCATCAAAGTTTGGAATCG